ATTATATGACAATACAATTGTATATACAATGAACACCAGTAATGATCAGTATAATAATTGTCCCCCCTCACGATGAGTTGCGGGGAACATCGAAATACCTGGCGTCCGTTCGGTCTTGTAAGCGTTCTCTTGTAAACAACTCTTGACAGATTTTTATGAAATTCATATCAAAGGACAATTTTGAAAATCAATGCCTATCAGCTATTTTTTCAGTAGTTATGCCCTTGAAAATGTAGATTTTAAGAACAATTGCACTCTGTAAGCGTTCTCTCGTGTACACTTCTTGTCAGATTTATATGAAACTTATATCTAAGGTTAATTTCAGCAATGTCTCGGACAAGTTCGAAAAACAGTGCCGATCAACAATGTGTAGAAGATTAATGCCCTTGAAAAAGTTTATCGTATGAAAAGTTGCATTGTAATCATTCTCACGTGTACAACTCCTGTCCGATTGTTATGAAATTTATATCAAAGGTTTATATTAACAATGTCTCGGACAAGTTGGAAAATTAGTGCCGATCAACTATTTTTTAAAAGAGTTATGGCCCTTGGAAATTCCTTTTTTAATGGAAAATTGCATTGTCAGCACTCTCACGTGTACAATTCTTGCTACTTTTTTTTTATGAAATTAATATAAAAGGTTCATATCAGCAAAGTGTCGGACAAGTGAGAAAATCAGTGCCAAATTATGGACCTCGAAAATATTGATTATACAGATAATTGCATTATAAACACTCTCTATCCTACATTTCTAAGATATCTATAAAAAGGTCTAAAGAACCAAAAAAACACAATTCCTTTTTAGTTATTGTACTTGGAAAGATAAAATATGTGCAGCAGAGGGGACACTGGAACTTGTTTAGAGTAAGGAAAAAATGCTATAATGCTAATAATTTGCAAAGTGTCATTTACAAAATATTTTATAGGCACCTATCTGAAGGTCAAAACTAGGAATTATTTTTTGTAAAAGTCAATGGGGTCTTTACTAGATTGAAAGTCAAGCAATTTTTTCCAGTGCAGACCAAGAATTTGAACAAAATATTAGTGATAAGAACATTGTAATCCTTCTTTGTTTTTAGAACTTACATTTTGGTTTTAATCAACTTTTCAGAACATAATCAGTGTTAAACGATAGACAACGTAGCTGATCTGAAAGGTACACCATCTACTTGCCACTATTATTACATTATGTACTGTGTTACAACCTTAGATAAAGCCGACTAGGGCAGCCATTACTCAACCTAACGAAAGCTATTTTTTTATATATATAACCTAGTTGGCCGATTGGTCTAGGGCGCTGACCACAGTGCAGGCGCTGTTGCCACGATGTCACAATAGCAAGGGTTTGAATCCCGCTGAGGGAAAAACAAATAATTTGCTAACGCAAATTTTCAGATCTAACATTGTTGGGATAAAATTATATTTTGTTAAACACAACTTAATTTCCTGTATATACTATTTTCAACCAAGATTGCTCCTTTCTAATCTTGCCTTTGAATGTACATAAGGAATATTTCCAATTCACAATAAACCATGTTAGTAACCGTACTCATTTTAAGTTTATTAAATAATACAAATTAACTTTTTTAATAAGCGATGTTTAATAGAATCCTCATATTTTCGAGCATTTATTCAATATGCTTGCTACACAAGTATCAAATAGAGACGACAAAATTATATGTTTATAATAATCATCATGTATTTATTTAAAAGACTAAAAGCAACATTTTTGCACTGTACTAGTATTTACAAAATGACCGTTAAAATAAAACAAAATGCCTAAGTATATAATTTGATTACACATATCAATAGCTTTACCATATAAATGCCATAACACAACTGTTATTTTCTGTGTAAATATTTAATTTGATTTTCTGTGTTGTCCTTTAATAATGTTTATATATATATATAATGGCACACATTCTCAAATAATTGTTACTTTTCGTTTATATAAAAAAAAAAAACAAAAAAAGAAGCAATACCTCATATAGCTACTAAATGTAGGTAAAACATAAACAAATATAATAGTTGAATGATAAAATAAAAAAAATAAATATAAATAAACATAAAATGCAATAATACACAAAAAATAAAGTGTAGTTGTACTGTGTTAATCGTTTTCTTGATTTGACATAAGTTACAACACATGAAAATTAAATAACGCAGCATTTATTAGAAAAATTTCTGTCAGAAGTGAATATATGTTGCATGACTTTATGCATAGTGAATATATGTTGCATGACTTTATGCATAGTGAATATATGTTGCATGACTTTATGCATAGGGAATATATGTTGCATGACTTTATGCATAGTGAATATATGTTGCATGACTTTATGCATAGTGAATATATGTTGCATGACTTTATGCATAGTGAATATATGTTGCATGACTTCATGCATAGTGAATATATGTTGCATGACTTTATGCATAATACCAATAATGTATAAGTATATTCCTGCCTCCATCTAGAGATGGATAGCTTCCAGCCTAGCTGTTTTCGTTACCTTTATCATCTTCGTCGTCGGTCCTTATATATTCATCGCGGACAATCATTCCTTTCACTTGCTGACAAGCGCTTGATTTTCTCATAAGATAGAATGGCTTAGATGTTGGAAGTTCTATTGCAACATTAGACGGTCCATCATATCTGAGAATGAATCAAAAATCATATCAATATGACAATAAAATGTCAACATATATATATATTTGAAACAAAATGTTGTTGACTAATAGTAAATTAACTTTTAGCTTCGTTGACTAATTATCAGTTTAACTCTAAGCTTCGTTGAATAATTATAAGTTAACTTTTTGCTTCGTTGACTAATTTTAAGGCAACTTGTAGTTCGTTGAATAATTATATGTTTATCTTTTAGCTTCGTTGACTAATTATAAGTTTAACTTAAAGGTTCGTTTGCTAGTTTCAAGTTAACTTGTAGCTTCCTTGACTAATTATAAGTTTAACTTTTAGCTTCGTTGACTATTTATAAGTTAAATTTTAGCTTCGTTGACTAATTATGAGTTTAACTTTTATCTTCGTTGACTAATTACAAGTTAAACTTTTAGCTTCGTTGAGTAATTTTATGTCAACTTGTAGAACGTTGACTAATTATAATTAACTTGAAGCTTCGTTGACTAATTGTAAGCTATGTTTAAGTGTAAGCTTATCATTATCACATGATAGACATATTACCTGCAGCAGTATTGTATCAATGTGTTTCTTCCATATGCTCCGTCCGGCAAGGTTCCACTCAAATTATTATAACTACCAGAATCATCTTCATCATCCCAATAAACATGTCCGTTTGCAAATCCTAAATATTCCTAAAAAATAAGAATGGTTATTTCATATATAGTAAGTACTTGATCATGAAAACTGTTTGCGAACATCGAACGGTTTGTTAAATTATATGTAATTAAAAACCGGTTTACTTGGAGAGGTATGAGTAAACTTTTTACAATGTGTGATGGAGAGTTGGAGGAAATAAAAGAGAAATGCACAAGGCTAGCTTGGTGTAACGACAGTTGTTTTATCGTGAAATTGATGGAAATGATACAGTATAACCGAAACAACTGAGCATACACTGTACAATGTCACTTTACACATATACTGCATACTACCTAGTAGCATTTATTATTCCATTTCCGTATCAATGAGTTTATGTAAATTCATTACAAAAAGGCAAACCTGATGTCAAAGATAGAAGGAGTTTAATCATGAAAGGAGTTTGAGAAACTATGTGTTCATACATCTATACCCAATGTACAAATAGTCATAATTTTGACATTTTATACATAGAACTCAATCAGTTAGTCAAGTTGGAAACTGATTGTTAAAGTAAGACTTATTATGCATGGAAGTAGTAAAGGCTTTAACAACATATATGCAAGTAATTGTATTTTGCCAATAATTTTGTAATAATATGACAAAACAAGTGTTAGCAATATCCTTCAACTCTACGTTCCGCTATATAGATGATGTTCTCTCACTAAATAATACAAAATTTGGTGACTATGTTGAACGAATCTATCCCATCGAACATTGGAAAATATTAGCTCTCTGCATTAAAAAACCGGATAAATGAAAAGCGGGAGATACCAAAGGGATAGTTAAAAGTTGAAAACGAACTGACAATTTCAATTATATTAGAGGAATGTCTGGACAAACTACACTTTGGCGTAACCAAACATTATTAAATCCATATCTTAGCAAAACATATACAACTTTACAACTTCAGCTTGGTGTATTATTTTGTTCGACACAAACATTATTTTAATATAAAATTTTCTTTACATATACTATTCCATCAATATTTCACCATTATATACTGCCTTTGAATGTACATAGGCGTTCTACTCAATTCACATTTGCGAATTTGTGTCCTATGTTCAAGAGATGTATTTTAGTATATCAAAAAGCATTATTGGAAAAATCCATCGGCATACAACTTAATTTGTCCACCATATTAGTTACATTGCTCATTTTGAATTTGGAAATATGTTTTAAGTTGTACAAGTGAACTTTTCAATATTTGTTTCCTTATATGGAACCGCCGTACTTCTAAACAATAACTTAATATTCTAACTACATAACTATTGAATAGAGACAGCAAAGATTCATGGTTATAGTAATCACCACGTTTTTTATAAGTAAGGCTAAAACAGCCCTCTCACCATGTTCTGACAGTTTCTCTGATGTATTTGCAGAATTGCCGTTATATGAATACAAGATATCAAGTGCTTAAGTTTATTACATAAATATCAATAGCTTTTTACATATATTTAGCACAGCTTTTATTTGTACTTATATAAATCTAGTTAATAAAGAAATTAATCAGTAGAAGTGATTTCATATAAAATTTAAAGTAATAGTAACACCAATTTGCAAAAAACATTTTTCTCTCTCAAATAATTGTAACTTTTTTTTATATCAAAAATATTTTAGACACACTCTTAATGTAAGTAAAACATAATAGAAAATATTTTATATTTTAAAAAGAGTCTTAGCCAAATTGAAATGAAATATAAATGAAATAAGGAGGCGACCATTTGAGGGGGAGGGGGAGGGAGGAAGAGAATTTTCCGGATTGTTTATTCACATTTTTTTGCTATTACGGCTTTTCATTCTTGTACACAACTACTCCCTGCATTTTGTTGGACAGAATGTTCATTTTCGTCCTGTCTTGGGTAAAGTTTATTTATTTTCAGTTACTACCAGGCCAAAATATTCATTTCCAAAATATTCTTGCCCTACCTTAGAATATCAATTGGTCATCTCATAATAACTTGTTGTTCTTTATCAAATTTTTTATAACTAAAATGGGAGTCACAATAGATGATAATGTAATCACGTAGCTATATAAGATTTTTGGCTTTAAATCGTTAAAAAAAAACTGCCTGGAGGTGTTATCATCATATTTGACAGTTACGTTTCCCCTTTCCTCAGACCCTGGACCCCCCCCCCCCTAAAATAAATATGTGTAAGCTTTATGCATAATAGCAATATAACATTTTAGTATTCCTGGTTTCTTCAATGTATGGATAGCTTCCCTCCCTTCTGTTACTAACACCACTATCTTCGTCATCTGTCTTTATATATTCCTTGCGAACAGTCATCCCTTTTACCTGCTGACTAGTATTTGTTTTTCCCACAAGGTAGAATGCCATAGATGTGGGAAGTTCAATTGCATTTTCAGGCTGTCCATCAGACCTGGGAAAATTTAAATACATACATTTGAAAATAAAATATCAGTAAATGTTCATCTTTTAAAAAAAATATTTTCGTTTACAGAATATAAATTAACTTTAAGCTTCGTTAACTAATCGTTCGATAACTTTTAGTTTTGTTGACTTATTATGAGTTTACTGGTAGCTTCGATGACTCATTAGAAGTTAACTTGCAGCTTCGTTGACTAAGCATAGAAAAAAGATAACTTGTAGCTATGTTGTCTAATTATAAGTTATCTTGGAGCTTCGTTGACTTATTATAAGTTAACTTGTAGCTTCGTAGACTAATCATAAGTTAACTTGTAGCTTCGTTGACTATGTAGAAGTTAACTTCCAGCTTCGTTGACTAATTATAACTTTTAGCTTATTATTGTCACATGCTGGACAGCTTACCTGCAGCAGTACTGTATCAATGTGTTTGCATCATCATACTTTCCATCCGGCAAGGTTCCTCCAATATCATTGCTATTACCATCATCTTCATCATCCCAATAAACATATCCGTTTGCAAATCCTAAATATTGTTAAAAAGAAAAGAATTGTTATCCTTTATGTTATTTCAAACCCCTTTTATAAAGGTATTTAACTTGCTGTTCGGTGTAAGCAACGGCTCCGTGCTGAAAGCCGTACTTTGACCATTAATTGTTAACTTTTTATACATTGTGACTAAGATGCAGAGTGGTCTCATTAGCACTCATACCACATCTTCTTATTTATATTAGATAAATGTTTTAGAGAGAGAGGAAAAAAATATGAGAGCATAAGCTTTGCTTGATGTAACAACAGTTTTCTTTCGTGAAATTGATGAAAAAGATATAATATAACGAAACAACTAAATAATTATACAGTGTACAAGTTCGTTGTAATTTGAATAATGCGTTTTCATTATACAACTCCCGGGAAATTCCAGGTTGTGGACATTTGACCCGGATACACTTAGTAGGTAGGCTAAGTGGTACGACCCAAACTCTTCCGCAAGGGGATTTCGTGTCTGTAACCAAAATAGAGTTCAAAAATATAAGTGTTACATAATAACTTTTGGTTAAGAATGATCTTCGTTTACATTAGATAAATACTTTAAAGTTACCAAAAATGTAATTAAATATTTAGATTTAGCTATCTTAACGCCTTTTTGTCATTTTGTCACATTTTCGGAAATAAACCGTAAAAGTGTTAGAGGAAACTGGTTCTTAAATGTCTCTTTCTAAACAGCAACATTTCTGAGTCTATACACTTTAAAAACAAAACTTTGCGACAAAAGAGATGATTTCAGCTTCCCAATTGTGAACGTCTCATTTCTATGTAGCAACATTCCAGCCGCGCCTGCAAACGGAGTTTATATCTCCCAGTTTAATACGATATTCTAGGCCTTGTATTTCATATCATGATTTCCTTGATAGAGGGTTGCTGCTCACAAGAAAGCTATTAAACAAACAGTTCCAAGTGGTGAAGTTGAAATCATCCCTTCGTTAGTTTTACGGACACCATCATGAGTTGGTTGACCGTTATGGAATATTCGTTTCACAGATTATAAGGTATATGTTCCTAATGTTGTATCTACAACCCCGTCCTTTTCCCGAATGTGACCTACCGAATAAGACTTATTATCGGGTTTATAATAACATGAGCAACACGAAGGGTGCTACGTGTGGAGCATGATCTGCTTATCCTTCTGGAGCACCTGAAATCACCCCCAGTTTTTGGTTGGGTTCGTGTTGCTCAGTCTTTAGTTTTCTATGTTGTGTTTTGTGTACTATTGTTTGTCTGTTGGTCGTTTTTCTTTTTAGTCATGGCGTTGTCTGTTTATTTTCGACTTAGGAGTTTGAATGTCCCTCTGGTATATTTCGCCTTAAATTAAATGAATTTCAAAAAGAGAAATTATCACTGCATGAACCCCTCCCCCTAGCACAAACATCCTAAAACTGACTGACAAACCTAAAGGACAAGATCCTCCTTTCCTAAGGATACAGTAAGTTCCATTGGGCCATAACACTAATTTCCATTTTGTCCAATCTGTAACTTTCTCATCACGAATCTTTGTACAGTAATATGCTTTAGTGTTCTTATCAAATGAACCTAAAATGATCATCAGAAAAAAGATTTGCTAAACAAAGAATGTCGAAAATTGTTCATTACATTGATTTGATCCTACGAGCTCCCTTCACAGCACTTGCAATCTGTAGACAGTTAAGCTTAGATTTTGTATCCAACAAATTAAATAACGCACAAAATATGATAAAATAATGATGGAAGTCAAATTCAATTGAAAGAGTTATGACTAGAATAAGTGGAAATGCACAGTACAATTATTTCCAATTCTGTAAAAAATCAAGTATAGTAACATTATTTTATTTTCAAGTCATGTTTCAGATTGTAATTTCAGGTTATCTAGTATATCGATATTTTCAATTAATATATGATTACCGTAAAAATGGTGACCACTGGTTAGCAAGTTACTGTTACCATCATCTTCATTGTCCTGAAACCGCCATCCTTCGACCCATCCGGATGGACAGCCTGATTTAGGTTTCACTAAAGTATATTTTCCTTTTGGCCATCATTCTACAAGAATTGTTTGAAAATTATCTTAATCATTCATTAACGACCTGCATATCATAAACAAAATGTGATTTTATATTTGTGAAAACGAATTGGGAATCTATAACCCTTTTATGAAAAAAACTACTTTTATTTCTATGGTATGAATGCTGTTTGTTTAAAGGATCTTAAGATAATTATAATCAAACATATATTTTTTTCACCAACTTTTACATGAAACGGAATTACATGTACATTGACAAGCCAACCACTCAGAGCACTTGTATCTACTATCATGGTTGTTATGTACAATGTTTGAAACACAATGACCAACACCACGGAGCATTACATTCATTTAGTAGTATTCATTACATTATATAAATACTAGATTTAAGCCTAAAAATATACTGTTACTTACCTGAACAAACCCCGGCAACCACCAGGAACAAAGCCAAGATATTCTGCATCATAGTATACTGTTACTGTTACACAAAATGCTATCAACTAGTTGTTGAATAAAAACACTGAAGTTATATAGTTTTTTATTGTTTTATACCAGATATGTGTTCACCTACCTGCTTACGGAGCATGTCTCATTTTGTTAGCAAACAAGCTTGAACTTGATCAGGTTTTCATACAAAATGGAAACAATGACTGCAATAACAACTGTTGTTTCTATAGAGCATAATGATAATAGCAAAAGCAGAAACATTATGAGCGGAAAAGAAATGTTTGTAATATTTTCTTGAAACAATCGATAAAAATATTTTCATGTTTTTTTTATCATTTTGAGTTTTTCTTCATTATTGTTTTTCAATAATATCTTATCTTATGTTTTGAAATGATTTTTTTCCAGCTACCTGGGACTGCACTTGCTGTTTCTCATATTTGTTTTCCGTTTATTTTTTTTGCATAGATTGTTCTTGTGTTGTGCCGTTACACCACTGTCCCAGGTCAAGGGGAGGGTTGGCGCCTTCAGACATGTTGTACACCGCCACATTCTGTATGTGCCTGTCCCAAGTCAGGAGCATGTGAGTCACTGGTTGTCGTTGGTTCATGTCTGTCATATTTGTTTTCGTAAATTATATTGTTATAAATTAGGTCGTTAGTTTTCTCAATTGAATTGTTTCATATTTTTCATTTCGGGGCCTTTTATAGCCGACTATACGGTAGGAGTTTTTCTCATTGTTGTAGGCCGTACAGTTGCCTATAATTTCTTACATCCACTTCATTTGATCTTTGAGGATAGTTGTCTCATTGGCAATCATACCACATCTCCTTATTTTTATATTAACTGTATACTGAGATGTAAGCTGTTCAAATGTCAGTATGTTTTTCCATCTAAGATTAGATCATTCATAAAAATTATACCCTTATTGCAGTAATTGTCATAAATAAATAGCTCTCCACATATTTTAATATTAATATTTAGCCAAATGGGTTGACTCAAGATGCTTATTGCATTGTTTTCCTGTATCTTTTCTGGCCTCAATTTGGATAGATTTAAGACCCATCTTCAGTTAACATACTTCCGTTTGGATGAGATATTGAGGAAAAAACAATGACAAAACGTCCTGCAATGTATCTAATAAATCTAATATCAGACAAAAGATAGTGCGCATGTTCCTGTTGGTTATTAAGCAATAGTATCCTTGACAAACTATATTTATAAAAAAAAAACATTGACCCATCTTCAACAGGATATCCGAACTACTTCAGTGAAACTACATGTACTATCAGTTTTCCTTTCTTGCACTCTGAACGTTTTAAAATTACATATACGACTTTTTTTCGTTTATATATTTCAATTTAATAAACTTGATCATTTTTCCAATTTTTCAACCAAAATTCATATGTTTTCTTTTTCTATCACGTTCGTCGTCTGTCCGACTGTAATTCACTCATTGAACATTTCTTATGATGAGCGCTTACCAATTAGAAAACAAATATCACAGAAAAACTCAATGTGAAGTACTTAATGACTTTTAACTGTAACTGACAGGCTAATACTGTAAGTTAAACGCCGATAGAAGACTCTATGTAACGTCGGAACCAGCGAAAAATATGTTTTAAATCATCTTCATGTTAATTAAAATGTTCATATATTGAATACTTGTTTGTATATATCTTATCTGGTTGGCCAAAATCTTTGATTTTGCATATATATTTATAGAAAAAAACATCAAAAAATAGCTTTTTACAAAAGATCATCTAATTTTTTAGAAAAAAAAAAACCCAAGAAAATTACGCAAATGAATCATTTAACCTACCCATTTAGAATAAAATATAAAACAGAACTCCGGTCAATTCAACATGCAGATTTAAATCAGGAGAAAAAACAATGAAATGCACTTCCTTACACGCTCTCCAAGTAACGTGATCGTAACCACGGGGTTTTGAACAAAATGATACTGTATGGTATGATATCGATTCCTAAAAAAATGATTTAATATCTCCATTCCTTTTTATTTAATCAAAAACCGTTATTATAATGAACACTTGGCAGTATCAATCAAAATAACACTTTTATAAATAATAATCTGCAAAGCGGCACAACTCAATAAAACCTTTCTGAAGATATCAGGCATGCAGGCATCTACTTTAAACCTAATGGATGGAACATTATGGTATGTACTATACTATTCAGTTTGGTCTTAAATATTAACATTAGAACTAAGAGTGTATCGAATATATTGACAAGTATAGGACTGTTTATCAAAACTACTATCATTAGTTTAGTTGTGATGACATATTTCGAGAAAAATATTATAAAAACATTTTCACATTAACGGATATTATGATTCGAAACCAATTTATGGTATCATACTTATACACGATGCAATACGCGATCGTGTGTGGATAACAAGAAATTCTTAAACATTAACCCGAATAGCACAATACATCAAATGAAAAGTAAAATAACAAAAATACCGAACTCAAAGGAAAATTCAAAACAGAAAGTCCCTTATCAGATGGCAAAATCAAAAGCTCAAACACATCAAACGAATGGAAAACAACTGTCATATTCCTGACTTGGTACAGACATTTCCTTATGAAGAAAATGGTGAATTTAACCAGGTTTTATAGTTAGCTATACCTCTCACTTGTATGACAGTCGCATAAAACTCCATTATATTGACAACAATGTGTGAAACAGACATAATAGGTAAAAATGTCAAAAATAGGGGTACAGCAGTCAACATTGTGTTATAATCTTAATCACTATAATAACAAACAAATATGTCAACAAAGAAAAACAAAATGGCATATAGACGAAGCACATAAGAAAAAATGAAAGGCAAGAATACAAAATATGACCATAGCACAATAACACAATGGCGGGATGTATAAGTACTGAGACACGCCAAAAGGATATTACCAAAAATGGACAAAACAGTAAAGGTTAATAATTTACAAAGACAAATAAAAGAACACTATAACACGTAATTAAGATGATACACAGCGTCAGTACCTAGAATCTATACTTCAAGTACATCATGTATTATATGTGAAGTTGATACGGAATATTTATCAACAAGGTCTTGGTATCTTCCGATGAACCTTTTTAGAAAAAGGACGAGATGTTCTTTGACATAACCCTGGTTCATCAAGTTTCTGCTCAGACACTGGTGACGTTTTATAAAGTCTGAATAGCAGCTGCAAGCTCTTGAATACCGAATGCGTTGGGAAATGTATATCCCATATGCAGGTGAAGTTGGTAAATTGCTACTAAGGTGGGGGGAAATTGATAATTTCAAAGTTAAAATCGTCTCGTTTGTTATAGATTCTGGTACTGAGATGACCGCTTATGTCAAATCGAGGTATAAGTCTAAAAATGAGTCGGAGGAAGCCGTGTCTGTTGTTTCTTCAATTTCTAGTTCTGGAGGATATATTAGACGTAGATACTCTTTCCGAATGGATTAAGGCTGTGAGGTCGTTGATACAAATCCGAATTAAGAAACTAAATGGGCATATCAATACCCACGCTACGTCAATTTTAAAAGACCCAAATGTTGCAAAACACTTGTCCTACCTCCATGACAAATATGTTGTTGTCCCCGCAGATAAAGCCCCAAACAACATCGTTTTTGTGTGTAAATATCATTACATAGACTGCTTGATAAATGAATTAGGTATTGACAATTCACTTGGAAACTCAACATATACCCTCACGACACTTACCAAAGAGGAAATCCTGGATAATCATAGGTCTGTTCTATGTTCCTTTGGAATTTCAACCAAAGATGAAGAACTGGATCTTCTATCACTGTATTGGATACCTAAACTACATAAGTGTCCTTAAAAACAACGGTATATTGCTGGGTCTTCCAAGTGCTCCACGAAACCTCTTTCTAAATAATTAACATCTATTTTATCAGCAATCAAAGCCGGGCTCCAAAGTTATTGTGAAACTGCATATTTTAGAGGTGGCGTGAATCAGATGTGGATACTAAAAAATTCCAAAGATCTTTTAGAGTACATACAATCTTAGACTCTCTCATCTTGCAATAGTATTAAAACATTTGACTTTTCTACAC